TAGCATGCACGCTTGGAAACTGTGAGAGAGAAAGAGAAAGCCTCTGACCTTCCTCCCTCCAAAGTCGAGGAAGAGTGTTGGCTAGCACTAGATATGGCGAGGAGGCTCATAATAACTCGCTACTTTCGCAGTTTTTTTTTTTTTTTTTTTTTTTTTTTTTTCAAGGCGATTAACAAACGAATCGGCGCCTTGTGGCATGTAAGATGAAAGTGTGAGAGAGGGGGGGAGGGAAGTGAGAGATGAAGATCTTCCATTTCTCTCTCTCCCACTCGCTTTTTTTTTTACCTTTTTTTTCGTGGCACTGCGCATTGTGATCAGAAAACAAATCGGCGCCATGTGGCATGTTCGGTGAAAGTGTCAGATGGGAGGGGAGAAGATCTCCCTCTCCTCTCTCTCCCATTCACTTTTTTTTTACCTTTTTTTTTTTTCTTTCCCAATGCGATTGAAAAACGAAATGGCGCCATGTGGCATGTAGGATGACAGTGTGAGAAGGGGGGGGGGGGCGGAAGTGGGAGATGAAAATTTCCCTTTTCTTTCTCTCTCACTCGCTTTTTTTTTCACTTTTTTTTTCGTGCGCATTGCGATTGGGGAACGAACCGGCGCCATGTGGCATGTTGGGTGAAAGTTTCAGATGGGAGGGGATAAGATTTCCCTCTTCTCTCTCTCCCATTCACTTTTTTTTTTACCTTTTTTTTTTTTCTTTCAATGCGATTGAAAAACGAATCGGCGCCATTTGGCATGTAGAATGAAAGTATGAGAGGGGGGGGGGGGGGGGAAGTGGGAGATGAAAATCTCTCTTTTCTCTCTCTCCTACTCGCTTTTTTTTGGACCTTTTTTTTTCGTGCGCATTGCGATTGGGAAACGAATCAGCGCCATGTGGCATGTTGGGTGAAAGTGTCAGATGGGAGGGGAGAAAATCTCCCTCTTCTCTCTCTCCCATTCACTTTTTTTTTACCTTTTTTTTTTTTTTTCAATGCGATTGAAAAACGAATCGGCGCCATGTGGCATATAGGATAAAAGTGTGAGAAGGTGGGGGGGGGGGAGTGGGAGATGAAGATCTCCTATTTCTCTCTCTCCCACTCTCTTTTTTTCGGACCTTTTCTTTTTCGTGCGCATTGCGATCGGGAAACGAATCGGCGACGTGTGGCATTTTGGGTGAAAATGTCAGATGGGAGGGGATAAAATCTCCCTCTTCTCTCTCTCCCATTCACTTTTGTTTTTACCTTTTTTTTTTTTTTTTTTTCAATGCGATTGAAAAACGAATCGGCGCCATATGGCATGTAAGATGAAAGTGTGAGAGGGGGGGGTGGAAGGGAAGTGGGAGATGAAGATCTCCCTTTTCTCTCTCTCCTGCTCGCTTCTTTTTGGACCTTTTTTTTTTTTGTGCGCATTGCGATTGGGAAACGAATCGGCACCATGTGGCGTGTTGGGTGAAAGTGTCAGAGGGGAGAGGAGAAGATCTCCCTCTTCTCTCTCTCCCATTCACTTTTTTTTTACCTTTTTTATTTTATCACATTGCGATTGGGAAACGAATCGGCGCCATGTGGCACGTTGGGTGAATCAGTGAGATGGGAGGGGAGAAGATATTCCTCTTCTCTCTCTCCCATTCACTTTTTTTTTACCTTTTTTATTTTGTTTTTTTAATTCCATTGAGAAACGAATCGGTGCCATGTGGCATGTTGGGTGAAAGTGTGAGATGGGAAGGAAGAAGATCTCCTCTTTTCTCTCTCCCATAGGCTTTTTTTTTTACATTTTTTTTTATCGCATTGCGATCATTGGGAAACGAATTGGCGCCATGTGGCATGTTGGGTGGATGTGTGACATGGGACGGGAGAAGATCTCCCTCTAATCTCTCTCCCATTCACTTTTTTTTTTTTTTTTTTTTTTAACGCCTTGCGATTGGGAAACGAATCGGTGCCATATGGCATGTTGGGTGGAAGTGTGAGATGGGAGGGGAGAAGATCTCCCTCTTCTCTCTCTCCCATTCACATTTTTTTTTACCTTTCTTTTCATGGCATTGCGATTGGGAAACAAATCGGCGTCATGTGGCATTTTGGGTGAATGGGTGAGATGGGAGGGGAGAAGATCTTCCTCTTCTCTCTCTCTCCCATTCACTTTTTTTTTACCTTTTTTATATTGCATTGCAATCGGGAAACGAATCGGCGTCATGTGGCATGTTGGGTGGAAGTGTGAGATGGGAGGGGAAAAGATGTCCCTCTTCTCTCTCTCCAATTCACTTTTTTTTTTACCTTTTTTTTTTTTTTTTTTTTTAAATGGATGAAGATCTCCTTTTTCTCTCTCTCCCACTCGCTTTTTTTTGGACCTTTTTTTAGGACCTTTTTTTCTTTGTGCGCATTGCGATTGGGAAACGAATGGGCGTCATGTGGCATGTTGGGTGAATGAGTGAGATGGGGGGGGAGAAGATAACCCTCTTCTCTCTCTCCCATTCACTTCTTTTGTTAACCTTTTTTATTTTGTTTTTTCAATGCGATTGAGAAACGAATCGACGCCATGTGGCATGTTGGGTGAAAGTTTGAGATGGGAGGGGAGAAGATCTCCCTCTTCTCTCTCTCCCATTCACTTTTTTTTAAAACCTTTTTTACTGTTGTTTTACAATTGAGAAACGAATCGGCGCCGTGTGGCATGTTGGGTGAATGAGTGAGATGAGAGGGGAGAGGATCTCCCTCTTCTCTCTCTTCCATTCACTTTTTTTTTTTCCTTATTTTTTACCGCATTGCGATTGGGAAACGAATCGGCGCCATGTGGGGCATGTTGGGTGGAAGAGTGAGATGGGAGGGGAGAAAATCTACCTCTTCTCTCTCTCCCATTCACTTTTTTCTGAACTTTGTTTTTAGCGCATTGCGTTTGGGAAACGAATTGGCGCCATGTAGCATGTTGGGGGAATGAGTGAGATGGTAGGGGAGAAGATCTCCCTCTTCTCTCTCCCATTCACTTTTTTTTTACCTTTTTTTTGTTTTTTTTCCAATGGATGAAGATCTCCCTTTTCTCTCTCCCCCACTCGTTTTTTTTTGGACATTTTTTTAGGACCTTTTTTTTTTTTTTGTGCATTGAGATTGGGAAACGAATCACCCATTCACTTTATTGTTTACCTTATTTTGTTTTTTTTTCGCTTTGCGATTGGGAAACCAATCGACACTATGTGGCGTGTTGGGTGAAAGTGTGAGAGAGGGGGGGAGGGAAGTGGGAGATGAAGATCTCCCTTTTCTCTCTCTCCCACTCTTTTTGGACCTTTTTTTTTTTTTGCATTGTGATTGGGAAACGAATCGGTGCCATGTGGCATGTTGGGTGAATGAGTAGATGGGGTGGGGAGGGAAGTGGGATATGAAAGATCTTGCTTCTCTCTCTCTCCCCCACTCGATATGCGGTACCCCCTCGGTCATGTATGTCGACAAGGTCGAGGGGGTACGGTGTTTCGAGAACGACGTACCCCCTCCGGTTGCCGGGGGGTGAAGGCAGCGGGGGTACGGCGTTTCGAGAACGCTGTACCCCCGCTCCCTCCCCTCTCCGAGAAGCGAAGGGGGTGCGGCATTTTCGAAACGCCGTACCCCCTCGGCCCTCTATGTCGACAGGGTCGAGGGGGTACGGCGTTTCGAGAACGCCGAACCCCCTCTTGTTACCAGATAGAGGAGGGAGCGGGGGTGTGGAGTTTTCGAAACGCCGTATCCCCGCTTCTTTCGCCCCATGGCAACCGGAGGGGGTAGAGCGTTCTCGAAACGCCGTACCCCCTCGACCCTGTCGACATACAGGGCCAAGGGGGTACGACGTTTTGAAAACGTCATACCCCCTCTGGTTCTCGGAGAGGGGAGGGAGTGGGGTCACGACGTTCTCGAAACGCCGGACCACCGCTCCTTTTGCCTCCCGGCAACCGGAGGGGGTACGGCGTTCTCGAAACGTTGTACCCTCCCCTCCCTCTCCACATACAGGGTCGAGGGGATACGGTGTTTCGAAAACGTTGTACCACCTCCGGTTCTCGGAGAGGGCAGGGAGCGGGGGTACTGCGTTTTCGAAACGCCGTACCCCGGCCTCGTAGGTGGATAGGGCCGAGGGGTGCAGCGTTTCGAGAACGCCGCGCCCCCGCTCCCTCCCCTCCCCGAGAACCAGAGGGGGTAAGGCGTTTTTGAAACGCAGTACCCCTCGGCCCTGTCCACCTATGGGGCCGGGGTGCGGCGTTTCGAGAACGCCTTACCCCCGCTCCCTCCCCTCCCCGAGAACCGGAGGGGGTACAACGTTATCGAAACGTTGTACCCCTCGGCCCTGTCCACCTACGGGGCCAAGATACGTCGTTTCGACAACGCCGTACCTCCGCTCCTTCCCCTCTCCGAGAACCGGAGGGGGACGGCGTTCTCGAAACGTCGTGCCACGGCCCCGTATGGGGACAGTGCTCCGCCCCTCTTTCGAATGTCCACATAGGTAGAAGGCGTTTACCGGGCTACGCTCGAATGCGTCGACGACTTACATGAGGCGATAGTGAAAGGCTTCATATCTGATTGTGATCCGTTCTTCTGTTTGCAATGTGCCTACCATCAGGAGGAACATTTGTTGTCCCTAAAAAGAGAGTCTATAACACCTACACAATCTATAGAGATAGGGAGTGGGCCCTCGATTGGGTGGGGGGGCTATACGAGGCGGGATGTGGGGCCGCTGTGTTTCTGAAGAACGCCACGGGTGATGACTGGTTCTGTGTTGGAGGGATTATTAAATCCGAGGATGAGAGGATGGACGGGCACGGACAGAAGTTCAGGAGGTTTTTTCTCACAACGGTGTTCGACAAACAAGGAGTGGATCATGCGAAGGCCGACCATAAAGCCAGCCTTGATTACAATTTGTTCAAGGGGTTTGGCGCTAAGGCTATTACCATGAAGGCCTTCGATGTGTCCCCGAACGAAGACGGGAGTGTGTTGACGATGCTTGGCCCCGTCAAATTCCTCAGCAAAACGAACGGGTACAGGAAGTCCGGAAACATTCCCACGGTAGAGGCCGGACATCGTATGTCCCCGACATTCGTGCCTTTTGACACATCGGACGAGGATCTCTCGGGTATAACAAAGAGAGAAAAACAAAGGACGCCACATTGTTTTCTAACGCAGCAGGCGTCAATGAATGGAAGTCGGCACCGCAACAAACAGAGCCAGCCGCGCCATCCGCCTGACGAAGTGGCCCGTCGTCCTCGTGTGGGTTCGTCCCACCGGAAGGAGTGTGCTGGACCGTCTCAGCCGTCCGGCCGGCAACACGAAGGCACCCCTGTCATCACATACGAAAGGAAGGCCGTGAGAATTTGTGGCACTCTCACTTGCCAGAAGGACGATGGTGGTGCGTCCCGGAGGGTGACGCCATGGGAGATAAGCGAAGGATCGAACGAGGAAACGGAGGATGATCCTTGGATTTGTGTCGGTCGACATCCACAGGGTAATCATGCCGTCGGCGATGAGGAATGTGGGGTCGACGAGGACAATGTCGAAGAGGAGAAATGCGAGGACGGTTATGAGGGCGAGGATCGTGAGGAATCTATGCACGATTGCGAGGGTGGGGAGTCTCGACAGTACTATGAGGAGGACGATGGGGGCGATGGAGAAAACGATGATGCCTATCCTGTCGTTGATGAGGATGAAAGGCATGTGCACAATAGGGGCGTCTTGCAAGAAGGGTCGGCTGGTGTGGAGGTCGATGAGGCAACAGGGGAGCGGTCGGAGGGCAATGTGTAGAAAAGGAAGTGACAATCTTCAACAAGTCAAACGGCGGGGGCGGATAAGCGCGCTGCGAAGAAACTCACTGTCGCTGCATCTCGACAGGCACTCAGAGCTTCTCAAGAGGCAGTCGCTGAAATCTTGAAGAAACGAAAAGGGTCGGTGTTAACCAGGACAACAAAAGCGGAGAAACGTCCACCGAAAAGAAAGCAGATGGTTAATGAGGGTGACTCTGGAGAGAGGATGCCGAAGGAGTGTCTCCAAGAGCTCTGTCGGAACAGACGCAACCTTCCGCCAACACCCATAATGAAGCCATCGACACAACACGGTGCTTCTTATTGGAGTCCGATGAAGATGGGTTTGCGAAGAAGAAACGGGAACACATTGAAGTGAATGTCACGAAGAACTTGCCAATTCCTGAAGATGACATCCTCGTCAACCATAGAACATTGAATGAAACGTTGGTGCAACCCATATATGATGCGATCCATAATGTGGCCAAGGAAACCAATGGGAAGTGGGATATCATGACTTTCATCCTGGCTCCAATTGTGCCCCACGGGGATGGGTCTCAAGGCAGACGGATGACACTGAAGCAATTCAATGTGGAACTTACTCATACATACAACTGGTATGTTGTTGCTGGCCAGCACACGGCTGAGGCAATAAACAGACTCATTAAGGATAAATCACCGACCGAGAAAGTGTACGGCTTGAGGTCATACGTGTTGTCTACTTTGACGATGCCACAAAGAGAGGATATCCGTATGTCTCAACGTTCGACAACACTAGGGAGGAGCGTTCCTTCTTGTGATCATTTTCGTCATCTGTGTGGCAAATCAGAACATTTTGGGATAAGAGGAATGATCGGATCCGTCCTCCAGGCACCGTGTCCCCGAATGACGTGGAGTAAATGAAACGGAAAGAGAAATAGGAAGCGTTCATAAACTCCGCCTGCAAAATGACATTCCGGTCTCATGAACTCGTTTCTAGAGAACGACTACTGGAAGGACTGAACGAACAAGATGCGTGAATACATGAATCTTGCGCAGTGCGGCGAGACGGTATGACCACTAGTACATAAATTCTTTGACATGTACGAGAAAAGGCTATTGCCAAGAATCGACGATGTGAGATACATCGACCGTCCGGGGAAAGTGGAAGGGAGGCTGCCTGGGCAATACTTCCTGAATGACAACTCCGACAAAAAAGTCTTGTTCCACTGCATCAAGGTCAGAAAGGGGCCACCAGGCGCAATAGTGTCTATACCTGATTTGACGCCCACAATCTTCAAGCAGTTTGGCGATATGACAGCAAGAGAGAAGCAAGTGGTGCTTCACCACATGACGTGTGGTGATGTCATCGTGTCATCATGTACGATAGCTCGTGGTAGATGCAACATGGCGGACCTGGTGAAATATCCTCGGTGTGAAAGATATATGGTCCGTATGTTCAACTACATATTGTTCAAGGCCGAGGGAACGTCAAAAGTAGAGTGGAACGCTGACTTCTTCATCGGTTATATGACCATCTTGGACAGGTACAGCAAAAACGGCCTGACTGACGGGAAATTGACTGGGAACGCCCGTATCCCTGAGGACAAAGTGAGAAAGGTGTCGAGGCGTTTGGGCGGTCCTTATGAGGAAAATTGTGAGAACGGTACAGGACTGGAGGCAACCCAAAGCATGTACAAGGAAGCTCTGTTCCACCTCAAGTGTTTCATTTATGAGGTGATCGACTGCTTGGACAACCTGAGAGAGGAGGTTAATAGAATATACTCCAGTGCTTGTCACATCTTTTGGGAGTGGGGAAGAGGATTACCACGATCCTGCCATTTGAAATCGAACCGAAGAGAGTGTTCACCGACAACGAGGAGGTTGTTGGTACGGGGAGGGGGATGAAGATACGGACAACCATTCTTGATATGTCAACATCACTGAAATGTGTTTCGTGGGATGATGACGCATTTTCCGAACTGTACGCTTTCCTCATGACATGCTGTGGCGAAAATTGGGCCTTGTTCATTTTCACGTTGATGAAGAATCAGAAACAGGTGATGCAAAGTGTGTACAAGTGGGATGATGTTGAGGTGCTCACTCGGTCATGGTACAAACACTACACACCTTCGACAACCTTGAACAAGTACGACAACATTGCAGTTCGGTACACTGACATGATGGCTATTGTCCTCCACGCCGAGAACGACAATTTGGACAATATAACGGTTGCGCCAAAATTGCGAGCAAAGTTGACAAATTTGAACGTTGAAGAGGGAGAATTTGTGAGGTGCTCAAGGGAGTGTATCGGCGTGTCGGGCAATATTGACCCGGTTTATTCTTGGATGGAACGAGAGTCAGCACGTCTCCGAAAACTATGCAGCTCGTTCATCAGGGAGGACGATGGCGTGATGATGTTGGGCAGGGCGCATGCAGGACTGATTTGGGAACTCGCTCGCGCCGGACACCTCGTGTTTGCATGTGACGACGCGACAAAAGAGCTCACATACCTTTCCAAGTTTTTGGAGTTTTATGTGAAGGATCCGAGGAACAAATGTAGGTTCGAAAAACCCCAAGTCGAGCATCGCAAGGACCGGGACATATACTATAAGCTTGAGAGAAAGAGGGAGAAAGTGTGGGCTTACTTGTTCAGTGACGCTCCACAGTCAGCGGTTGATAACGAGTACTTTATCAAAAAAATTGAACTGGAGATAGCAATGAACGAGTACTACGGTTCGCACATGGGTGCTTTCCACATGTTCGTCGCATGTTGTGAGCATCTGTTTTTCAATATGAAGAAAAAAGCACTGTCAAGCAGGGATTATGCGGACTTGGCACGTAAAGCCGGCAACTTCAACAACACCGATTGCGACGAAGACACGTCAGACTCTGACCTGGACGTTCCGTCGCGGACGGCACGAGGTGTGGCGGAGGGAGCACATACCGAGGAGCCGCAAGGGAGCACCAACGAAGCTGCGGAGAAAGAGAACTCGAGTTTGGGAGCGACACGTGCGAGTGAGGGAAATGTGGAAACAAGAATGACTGCAAGGGGAGAAAAGAATGTTGTATTAACGAACCCGGTGGGTGCGAGTGAGAGAATTGTTCACTCATGGAGCAACACATGTGGATGAGAAAATGGGTGTGCAATGACCCCGCCGACAGCTGGACCATCATCGACACAGACACCGCAGACCGAGCAACGAACGTTCACGTCGATGGACACAAATGAAGACGAAGACTAGGATATCACAGCACTCACGCCGAAGCTCGTGCCAGGAAAACCGTTACCTCAAGGCTTTGCTCAAGACCCTTCAGTGCCATACTTGCTGCAAGACAAGTTCAAGGAGTCATCGGAGGAGGATTGGTGTCATCATATTCTCTGGCACGGGGGCGTGTTCAAACCGTGCGTGTTTGCAGGCAAGTGGCACATGGCTGTGAAGACAAGAGACCGCGGGTGGGTCGCGAAGGAAAAAAAGGACATTGCAATCTGGCACAGCGTGACGGAAACGCAACTTTTTCGGCGAGTGGAAAAAGAAAATGTCGATGCAGGCGAGGTGGCTATAGCGGCAAAGGCGAAAACTTTGTTTGAGCATCTGCGTGCAAACAAACAACTAGAATTCAACACAAAGTTCTACGACCTTGCATCAAGTGTGTCGTATGGCTCCATCGATTGGAAAATCAAACAGCCGTCGGCAGTACAAGGAATCGAAAGCACCAACTCTCTGAAGACTCAAGACGTCATCGCGTCTAACACCATCGTCGTGATTGCTAGAGGGGATGAAGCCTGCCAAACGGACACACGTGCAAACGCAGGTGACGTGCGAAATGAACAGCACGTTTCTGGTTATATTGATGTGTTGTCGCAAATCATGATGCGATATACACCCGGTCCTCACATGGGGTATCTACACGTTTCTGGTTATATTGATGTGTTGCTGAACTTGCCGCTACTCACTATATTAGAAAACTACGTTAGACAGGAATGTTGTCTACGTGTTTTAGGTTATATTGTTGTGTTACTGCAAGTGTTAATGTGACACTTCAATTCTCGAAATTGCACTGCCGATCACAGAGGGTGCCCCATCTCGATACGTAGGGGTGTGTGTGTGTGTGTGTGTGTGTGTGTGTGTGACTCGTTAGCAGCGTTAGGTTCTGTGTGTAAATTAAATTGTGTGCGCATGCTTGGTACAGTTTTATAATAAAGGTAGTTTACGCTGACGCATAATGCATTGTTATGTGCAGAAAGGAGGAGCATAGAAGAAGTACAAAGATGCAAAAAGGGATGGACGATCCACTTAGCAACGGATAAGTTGTCGGAGAAGGAGACGGTCGTGGTACAACATTTACGAGATTCAGTGCAAGTGGAGAATCGGACGGTCTGGACATCACGTACAACGGGGCAACAAAAGAAGAACTAACACTAACCGGGCACAATTTGAGCTTGATATTGCTTGAAGACAATTGGCTGAACACCGAAATCGTTAACTTTTATTTGAACCTCGTTAGGTTTGACAACATGTGTCGCATAAGCCATCGCGAGTGTGATAGTGGACAAGACGGAAACATGGTAGAAGAAAAAGAGCGCATCCCGATAACAACAATTTTTAGTTCCTTCTTCTTCACGAAATTGTTCGACAACGAACTGAAATACCAATATAGCGCAGTGCAAAAGTGCCTGACAGATATCGACGTGGGTGACGTGGACTTAATAATAACTCCATTCCATATTCGGATGTCCAACCATTGGACACTTGTGATAGCGGACTTGATACGCCAGAAAATGGAGTACTACGACTCGCTTACGTCTGACATAGACTTGGCAAGGAAAGTGACAGATGGTTTCGCAAGATTCTTGTTCGAAAGATCGGTTGAACAGGGTAAGATGGTTGATACAAAAGATTTCAACCATATATGAAATGTGCCAGGCATTCCTAGACAGCGCGACATTAACTAATGCAGTGTGTTTATGCTAACATATGCGTCACTGTTGGCAAGAGGATTTCTCCCGCCATTCAACTTCTCTTTCGACGACATCCACAATATAAGGGGATGGATCGCTTTACATGTACTTGTCACACCGAACTAGGAGTTACTTGTGCAACAAAGGACATATGATAGACGACATTATCAAAGCAAAATATTTGTTCATTTTGTGAAAATGTAAAGAGTTCATCGGCTATGGTGGATAGATACCCACAAACATTTTTCGGATGTATTTAACAAAGCAACAGCGCGACATGCCCGATTGGACACCATTACTGTGTTACTTTAGCTGACCTTGTACCATTGCTACCCCTTATCCCTTACCCCTTACCCCTTACCCCTTACCCCGTACCCATATTACCCTTTATCCCTTACCCCTTACCCCGTACCCATATTACCCTTTATCCCTTACCCCTTACCCCTTACCCCGTACCCATATTACCCTTTATCCCTTACCCCTTACCCCTTACCCCTTTACCCCCGGCCCCTGACCCTATACCCATAACATACTTCATAAATTACATACAAAAATTGAAAAAAATTGACTTTCAATTTCGTAGAAAAAATAAAAAATGTCCGTTTTGACGAAATCGCAGTTCCAACATGATAACACACACACACACACACACAGAAAGGGGGGGGGGGGGAGAGAGAATGTGCCCATTTTTTTCAGATTGCATGATTACATAGACCCAACTTATGTAGTGCACGCAAGTTACATAGTACACACTACATAGCACACCCAACATACGTAGTCCCTCAAACCTACATACTATGCGGTGCCACAGCCTGCGTAGAACCATCCTACATACCACCAAAGGTACATACGATACCATGTTCATATCCTATAGTACTACAGTTGGCCTACTACAGAAGCTACACAGTGCACCCAGCCTACGTATTACACCCACACTTCATGGCACCACGTGACATAGTAAACAACACAGTTCTACGCAACCGTATCCGGGAGTACTAACCCATTCTACATAGTACCCAACCTACATAGCATTTCCAATAGTACACCATACTATAGTTGTACAACCAGCCTGTGTAGCACCCAGCCTACATGCACTGTTGATAGTGCTACATGGTAATACAGCAATCACCGCAGATAGCACCTAACCCACGTAGTACACCCAGCCTCCGTACCATACCCAAATTACATAGCACCCAACACACATGGTACACATTACACAGTACTACAAGATCGTCTCACATACTACTACACCCAGTCTAGATAACAGCCAACCTAATTAATATCTGATTCAGTGCAAATAGTACGTCAGGATAGTATCACACCCTGTCTACATAGCACCCAACCTACATTATATGCACAGCCTCCAAACTAGACATAGGTCTACACAAGTTTCTAACTACACATAGTACCTCTCTCTCTTTTTTTTCTTTTTTTTTGGAAGAATATGATCATTTCATTGCAAATAGAAAGGAGGCTGGGAATACCTCACAAACAACCCGCAGGAACTGAGGCCATTACTCAGCTTCGGCTTGTGCTGGAAACCGGGTCCAGCGTCCCCTTTCCTCAACTCGTTCTACAGACATCTTCCAAGAAATTACCACTGATAGCTCAACAGCGCTACAACTTGAGACCTAAACCACGAAACGTAGATAGTGAAATTAGGACATCTGGGTAAACCTCTGTCAAAAATCAATACCAGATGCACTCCACAAAACCACCCAAATTTGCAAGAGACGGAACACAGTCATGCAATGGCTAGATTGCCTCACACACACTGATCCCCTTACCTCTTTTTTTTTTTTTTTTTTTTTTTTTTGAAAACACAAGCTCCATCTATTGGTGGGGAGCAACACCTGCTGGAAACCGGGTCCAGCATCCCACAAATACATCCATATCCTCACAGATAGGCACAAACTGGGAACCGGGCCCAGCGTCCCAAGCACGTTCAGAAAAGTCATCAGAAATTACCATGAAAATAAGGCTAGAAAGCTACTAAGAATTTGGAGCTACTTCTTTTTTGAAAATTAACATACCAGGGCCATTACCCGGCTTTGACTCAGAGATATTGGAACAGCTTCAGACATGTCTACCACAATCTTCATGATTTAAACAGACCCCCCAATCAATCCCCTTGTCCCCACTCCAGCAAGACTTACTGCAGCAGAGCCACCATCTCTGCTGCTGCTATGCTCTATTCCATCCTACCAGTTAGCCCACTCACTAGTAGGACGCGTGATACCCCACCATCTGTTTTCCAATAGCAGCAAGTGCCACAGTTCCGTCTTCGTCATCGAAAGGGAGGTCCCGGAAGACCAACAAGTGCAACAGTTCTGTCTTTGTCATCGAAGGGGAGGTCCCAGGTACGTTCTAATAAGGTCAGTTGACCACGGCCGGTACCCATCGAGACTCCACTCAATGCCAATCGCATCCGTTCTCAACCTCCCCCATCTGAACCCCCTTCACCCTCCCCAACTCCATCCTAGTAAAGGGTTCGAAGGACCATATCCTTAGCACGAGCCAGACACAATCCTCATCCTGCAATCTCCTGCCCCCTCGGAGATTCCAGTCTCCGTCTTCGAGAGGGCAAACCCGCGCTACCTGAGGCCAATCGCACCAGGATGATCCCCCATCAGCCAGTACCCATCCGGCAACTAAAGCTGCCCGATGCCAATCGCATCTAATGGAAGATCCCCCAGCCGGTACCCCTCAGACAACCTAATTCAACCCTCTCTCCGTCCTCACAAAGAATCATCTCGTGCCCTTTGCCCTCCACCTTGAACAGATCCCCCAAAACCCAACAGAACCTCCACTCGCCTCCTTCACCTCCCCAACTCCGTCCTAGTAAAGAGTTCGACAGACCATGTCCTCAGCAAGAGCCAGACACAATCCTCACCCTGCAATCTCCTGCCCCCTAAATTCCAGTTTCCGTCATCGAGGGGGTGAGCCAGCACCGCCTGAGGCCAATCGCACCAGAGTCAACCCCCATCTGAAAGTTCCCCTAGCCGGTACCCCTCAGACAGCCCCGATGCAACTCTCCGTCCTCACAAAGAGACATAGTACTTCTCTCAAGCAGTTTGAGAAGGAAAAAAACAGAAGAACGGTTCAAGCAGCAAGACTGGTTGGTAGAAGGAAATGTCTAACAACAACGTATAGAGAAATTCAGGAGAAAACTGACACTGGACTGGAAGTAAACGCACTTTATGCTCCTGTGTTTATCTGCTGTTTCCTTTAGGGTTGGTGTTGGTTGAACATCTCCATGTTGTGTGTACAAAAGTTGGATGCAAGAATGGTCTCAACACTGCATCTTATTACTATTATGTCAGACATGGAGATGGTACAGCCATGGAAAAACTCACCAGCTTCCCCAACGGTATTCACCATTTTACTGACATGGTATATACTGCATTCCCACTTGGCTTCCATCTTCTTCTCATATTTTCTGGAAACATCTCTTTTTTCCAGCTAATCTGACAGTCTGCACAAACGTAGACTAAGAGTTGGACCACACAGGAAGAAGGATGGAAAAACCGTTCGGCCAAAAAAAACGGGCGAAGAATTTTGGAAAGCTGGAAAGCAGTTCTGCGGGGACCCCACCTCGGAGGACCAAATCCCACCGCGGAGAACCAAATGCGCCGTGGAAACCCTTTGGGAATTAGTTGAGCCAATCGTTGCCTTTCTCCGTCGGCACTCTTTTTTTTTTTCTTGTTTTCTTTGTTTTTCCTTTTTTTTCTGTGGCACTCTTGGTCGCTATTGGCTGCTGCCTCCCGTGAGACTTTTCCAAGACCTTTCCAGGACAGATACGCCCTCCCCCCTGCGGCAAGGAATCCTCCCGTGAGACCTTTCCAGGCTGCGGACTATGTGAAAACAGAAAACTACGTTTTTCCAAGCCGCAATCTTTGGTCTGTGACGGTCCGGGAAAACGGTTTGCGGCAGAAATTTCACCTTTCCGTGGACATCTGCCACAGGCTGTGGGGTCCTGGACACAGTTTTGTGGCAAAGTTTTTCCTTTCCGCGGTCCTGTGGGGTCCAACTCTAAGGGGAACATATTAGAAGGAACTGTATATCTGGAAGTCTATCTTCCCATGGAGGAGCAATCGGTGGTGCTCAGGGGTTCCTTTGGCTTCATGTATGTTCTTTTTGTATGGTGCTGACTTGATGCTTGAAAATGAACCAGTTTGATGCTCCCCATAACATTAAGGAGCCAAGAACATATGACCTTTTTTTGTCTTTTATAGAGTTTTTTTTTCCTTTTTTTCTTTTTTTTTTAAACCACCGCTACCTTTCACAAGAAAGCTTTTGTGAAAATTTCTTTCCAGTACCCCAATTTTCAAGGACTCGAACCCCCAGATCTTTTTGGCTGGACCGGCACAAACCAAAAAGGAAAAAAAGGAGCTCTTACACTGGGTTGGTTCATTTTGGACTTGGCACGCAGCGGAAGTCCGCCATGGGAAAATGAAGCCTGGAGGTGGTGGTTTCAGAAAGAGTGTTAGTGGATCTTTGAAGATAACGCCGCCTGTTTTGGGGTTCGCTCCACCACTGTCCGCTATACAGAATTTTGGAGAGTTCGTGTATAGCTGTCAGAGTACCAAAAAACGGAGATTTCATGTATTGTCTGCGGCGTCGCTCCACTTACTATCCGCTATACAGCTCTCCAATTCATGAGTTCACTACAAAACACCCTAAGAGCACTACAAGACAGCAAAACACCCTAAGAGCACTACAAGACAGCAGTTTGTCGGCCCAGACTCCAGGCGGACTATCCGATTTCGTGTTCGAACGGCGGCCTCCTTCGACCACCCTTCGAGGAGTGTCCGAGTAACGACTTTTGCAGGCTGGGAACTAAACACAAATGCAGAGTGCAATCCACGGCCGATTTCTGACAACTATACAACGGAGTTTACTATACACAAATGTAGAGTGCGATCCACGGCCGATTTCTGACAACTATACAACGGAGTTTTCACGTGTATAGTGTATAGTTAGTGGAGCGACGCCGAACTTTACAATTTTGTATAGTGTATAGTAGTGGAGCCAGACCCTTGGATACAAATTGCAATTTGCTTACTGTGTGTTTTTCTGACAACACTTCCTGACTTCACACACTAAGGGCCAGATCCCACTGGCAAAGAGGATTGTAGTAAGCGTCTGAATGTGGACATGTTTGTGGACAGGTGCAGAAATTTGTGATTGATCCACTTTTCTGCATCTCTGCGTGGAACACGTCCAGATTCAGACACTTCTTCCAATCCTCTTTGCCAATGGGATCTGGCCCTAATAATTTCCCCGTCATCCCATGTAGAAGCCCGCACAGTGAAATGATTGAAGTTTGTTTGAGCCTGTTTTCAGCACCTTTTAAGCCTATTTTGCTTTATGTGTCCATTTGAGTCTGTGTGAGCACTCTGAATGATGTTTTCCGTGTGTTTTTGTGCGGGCATTGCCCGCACCGCCCGTGCTAAGCTAGTAATAATAAAAAATTGAGCCGCAATAGTAATAATAAAAAATTGAGCCGCAATTCTTTTTATTTTTATTTTTAATACAATGCAAAGGGGCCCAGTGGGCTTTCATTATAGGATAACCAAGTTGAGGCCGGGAATCCCTCACACAAACCAACCCGGAAAACATATGTTTGACACAGTTCACACATTAGTCCTCCCTAGGCACCAAAACCACAGGCATTGGGAGTATCTCTAGGGACAGATATGGCCGACATCAGGGCCCAAAAAGCCACACAAACCAAAATTAAAACTTAGAGACCAGAACAAAACAAAGACTACAAAACCTATAGCCACCCAGTCGAAACCATGGTTATCGTCCACCTAACTTGGCTAGGCCCTCCTGAAGCCTCTCGTTGTCCTACCTATAAGCTCCAACACAGGAAGATGCTACTATGCCTATTTAGAATGCAAAACTACTGTCCTGTCTAATGCCACAGTATGTCTCCCATCGAGACACTCTCAAGTTGGACCACTCCTTCCACCATCTATTCCCACTGCCTGTCTACTGCGACCCCATACAACCCAGTGTCCAGGTTGGGAGCCGCAATTCTTCGAAAGTCTGTGTGGTCCCGAAATGAAAAAAAAAAAAAAAAAAAGAAAAAAAAAAGAAAGAAGAAGTCTGTGTGGCGATCCAAAATCGTCGAAAACATCCAGCGGCCTAGCTCAGTTGGTTAGGGCCGCAAGTGGCATTCAGGAGGTTGTGGGTTCAAGCCCCATGACCGCACGTGGTGCACTTAGTGCCAACGAATTAGTGCCAACGAACTGGGATAGTCCTCTGGATGCTCCTGATCTGTATTAGTGGAATCTATGACCAACATGGGTGTGAGTGCGAGGGCGAGTGGGTTGTGTGTGGTGTGTGGGAGAGTGTTGGCCATAGCCACTCCTGCTACTCTATGAGGGGTGGGGGACGATGAAAAAGGGAGGCGCAGCTACTGGCAGGTCTCGGTCTTTGTGTTAGCCAGACCCCCACTGGCGGCCCCAACCCTATACCCTAAACATCAGGGGCAGGGAGCAACATGAAATCTCCCCTTCACAGTGAGAGGAAACTATGCTTGCAGGGGTCCCCTCTAGATAGCCTTACGAGTAGGTAGTGAAAGGAAAAAAAACAGAAGGTGAGAGAAGAATATAGAAAAAAAAAATTAAAAAAAAATCGTCGAAAACCTTGTTTTCCACAGCCTGTGTGGCGAGCCTCTAAAGAGGGGCAAACTGCCCAAAAGAGGCTGTAAAATTTATTCTGACAGCCGTCGATTTTTTCTGCCTTTAGACAGTGGTGTGGCGAGGCCCAATTCAACGCGAGGGAGGAGAACGAAAGAAGAAGCAGAAGAATCCGCGCCTTCCTATCGAAAACGACGGGGAACCAAAAAAAAAGAAAAAAGAAAAAGAAAACGACGGGGAAGCACCCAAGCCCCCCTCTTTGTCTCTTTCTCCTTCCTCTTAGACGGTGGGCGCGGCGAGATAATCTTTCAACGTCCGCCATCTCCCCTGGCAATCGCTGCCTCTCTCTCTTTATCTGCCATGGCAATCGTTGCCTCTCTCTCTTTGCGCGGCGTGCTTTGAACACACCGGCGCAAAATCCCCAGCTGCACTACCCCGTCCTCGATCGCCCTTATGCACCGGCCTTCAGCCCCTTCCTTCCCCTGTTCACAGCGGCTCACCAACTCCGGCCTGCGGCCAATGCCGCTTAAGGGGCACGATTAATTTTAAGACCCGATGATAATCCGGACATAATTAGATCCTCGGAAGGATGTTACCACAAAGTCGAAAAATAATATGAATCTGATATTACCTCAAGACAGATTTCTGAACTCTTTGATTTGTTTTTTTTTTTTTCTGTTTTTGGAACTCTTTCATTTGTGAGATCATGAGATGATCTCTGGCCGTCGCAATTACCTCAAAACTTTTAATTCTGTCGTTTAAATTGAGAAAGTACCAGAATGTGGAGTTGGTGACAACTACAACAAGCCCAACGCTACAGTGCCATACCACTTTCACACATCCGCGACAGCCAATGGCAAGCCAATGGCAACACGTCCAGTGCATACCCGGTCCTGCTCTAAGATACCTTTCACTGAATCTAATGAAGCTCCCACACATCGAAATATTAGAAGTTCGATGTCTTAGCCCGCACAGTTACTTTCACCTGCCCGCAAGTGAAACATTTGAACACCTTCCAGCCTTCTGGCTATGCGCAAGGCAGAACACCTTCCATGTAACAGTTAATAACCAGATCAGGAGCTAGAATTCTACCCAATAGTACAATGCTAGTGAATATTACTCGCTAAGACACAAACGAATTCATGTATATATTAGAAAAAGAGTACTAAATTTTATCCCTCACTCTAGGAGCACCTCGAGATGCTCTTGTGACTCAGCATCATCGTCCTTGCAGATGGCATCCTCTGCCTCTGACATCGCCAGAAGGTACTCCATGTCCATTGTTCTGATCAAGAAGTCCCATCCTACATCCAGAAACATGCTGTGGAAGCGCTGCACAACAGCTCGCATTGCCGGCCTTGACCCATACTCCTCATGCACACATTCCCCCGCCAGTCTGAAAGTGTTCGTCACCATTTGCCTCGTAGAATCTTCCGCCATCTCATCCCACAAAGAGCGGTCAAGAATAGCACGTGGCATGTCCAGGCTTGGGTCTTGGGCTTTTTCACCGTGATCTCGAAGGAAAGGCTTCACCCAGTCCACCAGTGTCTGCCATCCCACCCCACACGGCGCCCGTGTGACCACCTTCCTTCCCGTCAGCAGCTCCAGTACAAGAACCCCAAAGGAGTACACGTCGTTCTTCTCCGACAGCTCGCCTCTCAGCATGTACTCGGGCGACATGTACCCAAAGGTGCCACCAATGTGAGATGTGATCACAACATGGTCGTGTCCTGTGTCCAACACCCTCTCCCCTATGGCCGCCAATCCGAAGTCAGTGATGACTACATGGAGTGTGTCCCCACAGCCATCGGCAAGCAGGACGTTGCTGCTCTTGATGTCACGATGGATGATGGGAGCCTTGGCATCATCGTGTAGATACTGGAGCCCCCTGGCAATCTGGAAGGCAATGCTCATGCGCTCCTGGAGAGTGAGTGGGGGAGGACAATCCAACTCAATGCTCAGCTGCTTATCAGTGTTAGGAGATAACCGCTCGTGCAAGCACCCCCCTGGGAAGTAGGTGTACACCAAGATGCATTGATTGCCCTCCTGGCAGTAACCAGTGAGCTGGATGAGATTGACGTGATTAACTGCACTGAGAGTGTTCACCTCCGCCACGAACTGGTTCCGTTTGGTGTCCGTTAGCTCGCCGGCCATCAMCTTGATCGCCACATCCTTCCCATCGAGCGAACCCTTGTAGACTTTCCCAAATGACCCTCTGTTCCCGATTTGATGARTCGAGCTAAAATTGTCCGTGCAATCCGATAGAGTTTTTATCCCGAACTGCTGGRCGCGTGACGGCCTCAGTCCCCAGAAATCCACAGCAGTGCAGTCCCGCGGAGCTGAAGTCCTCGKCCGGCCAGCAACGGCAGAGTTGTGATTGACCTGTTCCAGAGCTCGACGTCGACGCTTTCTGGCCACGCAAACCCACACAAATGCCCAAGTTGCTATTGCTACTGCTAGAAATATCGAAGGAACAACTACAATAAAGTAAGTCCATGGATCGAATCCCGAGCCCCAGGAGGAGGGTACAATAACTATTACGAAATAGATCATGCCTGCCAGTACTGACGAAAACAGATTAACCGGMAAATACTCTAGTCGATATAAACGAAGATGAAATCTACGTGAATTTTCGCCTGCCAGTGCTCGCGGCCAGTACCGTTCCTCTTCACAACGGCTCAGTTCCGACCTGTTGAGCGGAGCGAGATACACGCTGCCATCGCTGGTTCCAACGTAGAGGCTTAAGCCGTCGACGTTGTCACCAAGTGCCAATGCCGTAACATCCGCTACGCCGAAATAACGTGGGAGGGCCGACCTGAATCCAATCACGCCGCATGCCCTTCCCATCGGTCTGCAGAGTACGAAGACCGCAACTGTACCGTTTGCGGCTGTGGACACGTACTGATGACATCCTTGACTCGTTGCGACGACGTCTACCGCTCTCCGATGGAGCAAATGGGCAGGTGGTGATATCGTATAGTGGTGGAAATGTCCACGTTGTATCGTCCACGCGAACAACCAGTCAGTAGAAGTCACGGAGTACAGGCAACTGCCGTCCGCTAGAAGGCTTCCAGATTGGAACTCCTCGTTAGGATCGATAGGATCACTCGGCAATCCGATATTCTGAGGGGATATCGGGTTCGGATTGCCGTTTGGAAGTCCGACATCGTTAACCGTGACGTTCAGTAATGCGGAATCAGATTGCAAATAGTAAAGAAAACCCTTGTTAGGCTCTAACGCCCACGCCTGGGACAATTTGCTCAAAGGGGGAGATGACAATCGAGAGCCGTCGGCGAGAGACAAAGAAGTGAACACGGAGTCGTTGTCAGTCCGAGATCTGGTCCCACTGTCCCATACTTCTTTTGGATCTCCATTCGCTACGCTCAAGACGAGATGCATCCCATCTTTCGACAGACCCATTCCTGTCACGTGAGCCCCTCCAAAGTCCGCTGGTTCGCACTTTTGTCCCGTTCGGCTGCCCGTATGGCCACATGTGACTTATTAAGGAGTCGTCGTCCTCCTCCGGGCTCGAACTGCCGTTGCCGTCCTGCATCTGCGATAAGTTTAGTCTCCTAATCGACAACGCCCGATCCTCGAGATCACCATCCACTTGGCAGTACCGGTGCAGGACGTAATACAGTTCCCCCGAACCGACCACCAGGCTCGTAATTTCGGTCCGGCAATCTTTCCCCGCAGTCCCATTCGCCCACGGGGTATGCCACGTCACGCGCGTGATGGAGCCGTTAACGAGCTGCGAATGGTCTATCTGCCGCTCTTGCTGCGGCGCTGCTGGAGTGGCACTCGTCGACTCCTGAAGAAGGCGATCGCTCTCGTGCCAGCTAAGCTTCGAGGTACTTCTTCCCCACTGCCCGGTTCTATGAATTGATCCCTCTCCCCCTGTGAATACGAGGAGGAGACAACAGCCGCACATAACTGTGGCCGCTATTGTCATCAAAAGGCCTAGTATGACCAACCGCATCTGGGCAAAGAAACGGACACGACGACGCCTGCAATGATCATAGAAAGCGGTGTAATGGTCCCTAACAGGATAGAGGAGCTTCATATCCCCAACTCCCCCCCTCGCTGAGGATTGGCGTGAGAAACCCCTCCTCCCCAAGCAAACCGTTTCTCTACTGCCCGAACTGAAGTCGCCTTCCCTTACCGAGAGCTACAGGTCCCCACCCACTCTGGATACGCAACTCACACAAGTTAGCGCATACTCACATTCGTTAGATTACTTGAACTGAATCCATCCCTGAATATGGCCAAATGCGTCCAGCAAAGACCCAGTGGGAGTATATGCCGTTGCTGAATTAGCACTCTAACGCTGACTGGCTGTGGTGCATATGGAGCGTCGACCAATCTCTTCCATTCTGCGAGCCATCCGCAGCAACGTAGCGACACAAAGCACGGTCAGTCCTCGCTGTCTACGATGAAAAAAGAGCAATACCAGTAGGCATTGAGAGGCACCATCACTCATTTCCCACCCAAACAGCCATTTCGTCAAAACGGACATATTATATTTTTTGAACGAAATCAAAACTGACTTTTTTTGCCAAAATCCGGTCGGAATTTTTTGATCCTGGGGTCCGGCCCCCCCTGGTCTGTGGTTGAGACCAAATACATTTTTTATTTTATTTTATTTCTTTTATTTTTTTTTGTATCTGGTCTCAACCATAGACAAGGGGGGTCCGACGTTTTGGGAACGCCAGACCCCCAAGAGCAAAAAATTCCGACCAGATTTTGGCAAAAAAGATCAGTTTTGATTTCGTTCAAAAAATATAATATGTCCGTTTTGACGAAATGGCTGTTCCCATGCAAACACGCTTGCCGGTGATAAGCAAGCGGACTGGTGCCCCCCAGAATAGAAGGGGCTGTGTGTGTGTTGTAAGAAAAGAAAAAAAAAGACGTTAACGATCCAAAGGTGAAGGAAAAAAAAAAAAAAAAACCGGTGAATGGATCTCTAGAACTCATCCGCCCCCTGCCACCATTCCTATCTTTGCCCCGCTGTTGCTGCCTCAATGACGTTCCCGAGGAGGTCGAAAGATCACGGCGGTCTTAACGTGAACTAGGCGAAGGTAAAAAACCAGTGGGCGGTACACGCCGCGTTTGCTCACGCCAAATCAAAGACTGGCTGCAGACGGTTCATGAAGACGCAGTTGCGTTGTAACTGACAAAATGATAATCGAAGTCAGAAAGTAAGTACACGGGACACGTGGCGACGGGAGAACCACCAGCCCTGTACCATCAAAAGAGGAGGCATCACTCTGGCGGGACATATCTGACTGTACCCTTCAACACATCCATGAAGATATGCCAGGGAACAGCGTGACAAGTGAACATGTTCTCACAACGAGCGCTCGAGGGCGCACAGCCGGGCGCGCGCGCGCGCGAGAGAGAGAGAGAGAGAGAGAGAGAGGGGGTGGAGAGGCGGACGGACTGTAAGGTACTCTCGATGGGGTGGCTACCGTATAACGGAACTCCGTCGAGTAACGTCGAGTATAACATACGATTCTAGTATAGAAGCACAAAGTAGTGCACGGCTAGAGCCGTGGATGGGGTGTATGCTATGGCGATGGAGTTGCATTGCCCCGCCAATGTGACAACCGACGGTGACAAAGCCGATGGCGCCTGGAGGCGCGCCCTTACCCCGGACTGGTTTTATCGCCATCCATATTCAGACGGCACTTCTACCTTTTCACAAACGCACACACACAGAAAGAACGGCACTTCTCCCTTTTCACAAACGCACACAAACAGAAAGAGCGAGTGGGGGGGAGAGAGAGAGAGAGAGAGAGAGAGAGAGAGAGAGAGATGGGGGGAAGAAAGTGTACAGCCGCTGTCGTTTGTGTCAAGGCATGTTAGCAGCGTTCTCGTAGTGCGGCTAGCCGTGCTTTGCGAGGCCAATGCATGGATGGGGCCTCAATTCAACAACCGCTGAGTGTGGAGGTGGTAGCGTGTCCTGCCAGCTGCAACCACAGAGATGAAGTCGGGATTTTCATATCTGTGGAGTGGTGAAACGAGACCTACGCACAAGTAGCGGCCAATGGCAGCTAGAGGAGTTTGTGTTTGTATCCCTCGGAGTGCTTCTTATTTGTCCATGTTCACACGGCATCGACAGCCAGGAACGGACCGACGGAGATGTGGGGGCCGACAGCTGTGTCTGTCATCGTGCCGACAGCTGTGTCTGTCATCGTGTCTGGGCGGCACGATGTATTTGTGAAAGAGAAAAGGCAAGAAGAACATGTTCATACAAACAAATACGCACCCCGTAAACGACTGCGTGCCCCCTCGCGCGCGCAAGAGAGAGAGAGAGAGAGAGAGAGAGAGAGAGAGAGAGATGGGGGAACGAGACCTACGCACAAGCAGCGGCCAATAGCAGCTAGAGGAGTTTCTGTTTGTATCCTCGGAGTGCTTCGTCTTTGGCCTGGACCCCACAGGTTTCCGGAGAGGAAAAACTTCGCCGCAGAACATTTCCGCCACCGGACAGCCCTCCGTGGAGTCCTTGGAAGGACGTTTTTTTCCTCCAAGACTGGGCGTCCGGGGAACCCACAACCCGAATTTTGTGGCGTGGAAATACGGAATTTTCTGTTTTCACATGGTTTCCCGACTGGAGAGGGCAGGGGGGCGTCGCATCTCGAATATTTTCAAGGTTGAAAATAAGAGGCTAGCGCAGTGGGTACACCCATTAACTGTTGAAAATACAGACCCGTGTTCAAATCCAGATCATGATAGAACCACTTGGTGAGTAAAGTTGTAAAACCAACTATTTCTGAATTGCCTGGGGCCGGTCAGGTGATATCTCAAGGCGATCGCCCTTTCTTTAAAAAAAAGAAAAGGAATATTTTCAAGGTTGCAGTCTCCACTTACCCTTCTCCACTTTGCACCTGAAGATACACGCTCGCCTGTTCCAATGGTCAAAAAGTGACGAGTTTCGAGTCTCCGTGGAAGAGTTTGCCCGCGGAAGAGTTTGCCCGCGGAATGACGGGACCCCACCGGAGTGGCTGAAAAAGCCGGTTTACACGGACCACGAGCTTCGAAAGGCTGGAAACTGGAGATGGACCAGATGGTGGTCGCTGATGTCCAGCCTTGCGCCTGTTTCAGTTGTCCTTCCTATTGGGCGACAACAGCATGTCCGTAGCCCTTTCCAATTGGACCAGGGAACAGCTTCGGGCGGACAATGGATGGGTTGGCGAGGAGTTTCCAACCATGGACATGCCCCCCCCCCTCCTCCCCCCTATTCTTTGGAAAGGGCACAAACATACGGGCCGAAACTCCTCCACAGCCACTTTTCCGACCCAAAACCGATGTGAAAACAAAAAATGTGGCTTTTCCAGATACCAGTTTCCAGGCTGTTGGGTCCCAGAAAACCTCACCGCMGTCCKAAAATCGGCTTTCCGTAGGGCCTGCTTTGTTTGATGGAGTCCGAGATAAGCTTTTCCAYGCCGGCTTTTCCACGGTTTTTCCCTGTGGGTCCAGGCCTTAGAAGCTAGAAGATACTGGGCATGGCATCCGGAATGAAAATATCTCAGTTAGGATCATGCAAATACTCTTGTAAATAATCTGTGAAAAATGCTCTAACCTGTAAGTAGTCTGTCAGCTAAGAGTAGGACTGGTTTGGCCATTGAGAGAGGACCTCTATCCATTCGCTCAGATGCTCCATGTGACCCCTCCAGACGCCTTGGGCTTATCATGCTATCCTGATGGCTCTGCTGATTGGTGTCTCTGTGATCCGTTTTCCTTGGCAAGAGAGCAAGGGCCAGTGGAATCCTCAGAAATCATGACTGCCCCACCAGCCCGGGCTGATTGGGCCACGACTGTTTTTCTGAGCCTGGAGGCACCAGGACCCTTCAGACTCCAAAATACCTTCTTTTGTTTTCGAGAAAACTTCACTGTGTAATTCGGCCCCTTCCTAACCAACATATATAATAATGTTGGAGGCACCAGGACCTTTCAGCCCGGTAGAGTTGTATGTAGAATGTTGGGAGGCCTTCGACCCCTTCCTAACCAACATATATAATAATGTAAGGGTAGGGAGTCCGTTACCGACAGGGTTTTTGAAAGGGTACGTCTCCCTCCTGTATAAGAAAGGGAGCAAGTCTGAGGTAAGGAACTACAGACCAATATCGGTACTAAACGTCGCATATAAAATTCTGGCAAAAGCACAGGCCATGAGGCTCGCCGAGTACCTACCAGTCTTAATAGGCCCAGAACAAGGGGCCTTTGTGAAAGGACGAACTATATTTGATAATATAATGGCCACCTTACAGGCACTAGAAATAATATCATCAGAAAAAAGAGAAGTAGCAGTACTTCTTCTTGACATGGAAAAAGCCTACGATAAAGTAGGTTGGCCGTTTGTCTTTACCACTCTGAAACTTATGGGCTTTGGCCCACAGTTTCGGCAGTATGTTAAGGCTATGTACTCAGATGCATCCTCGGTAGTACTGGGTTAATGGTAAACTATCTGATGAGTTTAAATTAACTCGATCACTGCACCAGGGGTGCCCACTTGCCCCGTTACTCTTCGTGTTACAGTTAGAAGTACTGTTAGATAACATCAGATCTAATCCGGCCATTAGGGGATTAGAACTCCCAACAGACATTCACTGGAAAGGAGGAGCCATCGAGACGACCTCACGGTTGCTTGTGAGAACTCCCAGTCATGTCTTAACGAATTGAGGGTAGTGTTAGATGATTATTGTAATCTGTCGGAGGCATCTATAAATTGGGATAAATCGGTATATCTACTCCCAACCCCATTCACGATCAAGGTCAATTGGGGCCTGAAGGAGGTTCCAGCAGAGAGCTCAGAGCGGTTGTTGGGGGTTCAGGTATCAATGCAAAACTGTGCCCAGAGCCAGGACAAGATCCTTCAAGACAAGATCTGTGCAAGAATATCAGGGTGGGTAAGTAACCACAAGTTATCAACATACGGCAGAGCAATGGTGCTCACCTCAGCGACGTTCTCCATTCTTTGGTTCCCAATGGCAGTCCACTATGTGGGAGATGCAGCGTATTCTACCATCAAGTGAGCAGCGGCCAGATATCTATGGAAACCGGAGGCTAAGGAGGAACAAGGTTTTATATATAAAGTGGCCTGGGACACCATATGTCAACCCAAACAACAAGGGGGCCTGGGCTGTTGGATCCTAGGGATCAAAACATAGCGCTGTTAGTCAAATGGATTATTAAAGCCTGTTTCCCGGAGAACTATAAGCAATGGACTCATCTCGCAGAGTACATTCTCAGGAGAGATTGGTCTTTGGCAGAAGGGGTGAATGTATGGTCATGTATAGTGCAAACGAATCTGCCCAAGAAAAAGACAAGGTCAAGAACCTGGAACGGTATACTCTCTGCCTGGCAAAAGATCAGGCCTGTAATGCTGTCAGAACCAGGATCGAAGGCAGAGATCCTCAACCAAAGCATCTTCGACAATCCAATAATTAAGCTGTCGACGGGAACCCCGATTGAGTCAGGGGAAAAAGCCGGAAATTTCGGTCGGACATGGATAGAGAAAGGAGTATTCTTGATTGCGCACCTGTGGAGTCCTCAAAGACAGGGGTGGATATCAGGGTCAGAAGTTAGGATGAAGCTACCAAGACTTCACAGAGTTGAGAAACATCTAACGGTGATACTCAAAGCTCTTCCGGGGCACTGGGGACAGCTGCTTAAAGAGGAAACGGACCATGCATTTGGCACCTGGGTCATGCATCCAGAGGAGGAGAACTTGGTGCTGAAGGTTTTGGGCCCGAATCTGCCGCAAGGAACTATTTTGGAACAATGGAGGAAAGGGCCCCGAAAGAAAGAAGGGACGGAGCTCATCAAGGAGAAGGAAATAACGTTGAGAGTCACAGCTGAGCTGCTTGAAGTTAAGGTGTGGGATCCGCAGAAGACAAGGAATAAGTGAAACCCACTGTTGCTGCATAGGAAGGCGGCAGAATACAGAGTGGAACCGCTTCAATATGGTTGGACAGGCATAGAGGGCAAAAGTATACCATTGATCAACTATCAAGCTAAAACCGGGGCGACGCAGCAGAGGAAGCAGAAAGCTCAGCCTCAAGCAAAAGCTGTGGAGAAGTTTAAGAAGAGTCAAGGAGAATCTAAACCTCCACCAGACTACAAATTGTTGTGGAAAATGTTGAAGAAAAGTCCCGTCACAGAAGCAAGCCAGCCTAATGTGGGCACAGTCGATGTCGGTGATTCCTTCAGCCGTTTGGCTGAGCAATAGGGGGATGGAGCTAGATGTCACCTGTCAACAATGAAATTGGGGTTGGGAGGCAACAGAGCACCTGTGGCTCCTGCGCCCACTGGCGGATCAAATGTAGGAATGGTGGAAGTTGCAGTGGGAAGTCGGGGCGCAGCGAAGTGGGAATGGACAGATGAATGGATACTTCATGCAATACCTCCCTCCCAGGCAAAGCTCACGGATGAATGGGGCTACGTTGCACTAGTATGCAGAGGTATAATCATGGAAGTTACCTGGAAAGCAAGAAACGCGGCGGTCTTTCACAAAGAATTGCTCCCCCTACAACAACGGACGAGAATGGTGAAGGAAATGCTAAGGATCACAGTGATAACAGAATGGAGAAAATCAAGGCAACGTTCAGGCAGGGGTCTGGGCTGGTTCCGGAAAACTTGGACAAACGAAGATTTCCTGGCCTCGATCAATTCCGAAGGAAAGATGCAAGTTGCTAAATGGTTATACTAATAAAGAGCTAGGGAGAGAGTCCTAGGGGAAAGACACAGATACAAGACAATTTGGGTGAGCGTGTTAGCTCACAGAGAATAGGAATAATGGTTACACAATGTTTTGGTAGGTGGTTTTATACCTACAAGGAAGGAGACACTTGGTAAGGAAACATGGCCTCTGATTCCTCAACTTTTGTTGCAATTCTTCCAATATACAGAGGCGGACATAGAAGGTAGAGGGGCAGCCAAAGTCAAGATAGGTCTGACGCCCTTCCACCTGTATTCAACTCAGAGAAGCTTCATTGAGCTGATACCTCTTTACTGTGCTTCAAGTCAATAACTTTTTTTGGATAAGCTTGAGTTAATGGGACGCTGGACCCGGTTTTCAGCATTAGGGGCCCGGTTAGGTTTTGTATTTCAGCAGTCAGTATTGGGTTTTGAGCGAGTGCTAGTAAGCTAAACTGGCTAAGGCTGCCAGGATATCCCTGGGTTGAATTGTGAGGTCCCCGGCCTCGGTTCCTATGGTTTTTTAATAAAATTTTCAAGCTGTTCAAAAAAAAAAAAAAAAAAAAAACTTCACTGTGTCATGGCTCCTTCCTATTGGTGGGGAGCACGGCCTGCTGGAAACCGGCTCCAGGGACCAACCCAGTAATTTACCTGAGCTGTGGAGCATAAGCCTCAGGGCATGCTCCAGGGACCAACCCAGTAATTTACCTGAGCTGTGGAGCATATGCCTCAGGGCATGCTCAGACTGCGAACGCATATCTGCAAATTTTGCAGCCTTTGTAATAGAAGCTTTTTGGGCTTTGTGCCTTAGGCTGGTCACACTGGCGGAGCATTTCGAATGAGATGCCGTTGCAGTAATCTGACAATACTGAGGCCATGTTGGGTGTGGTGACCCAGGAACTGGAGTAATGTAGCGGAACTCGGGTTGGCCTGTGAGACCAGCCCCTTGGCCTGTTCTCACAGGCCTGTGTTATATTCGGGGTAGGCTAGTCCAGGCCGGTACCTCTGTCGGTACAAGCCAGTCCAGTCCAGTCCCGTCAGTCCGCTGAGGTATACCCCAGCCATTGTCTGTTTTCAGTCTCATTCCTCACTTGCACATTTTGGAGTACGTGTGTTGGAGTCTTGCGTGGGGAGCTGCGCTGTGCCATCTTGCTTCCCCTTCTTCCTCCATCTCCATCTCTGTCACTAGCGGAGCACCACACCTGGTGGGTCCGCTACATTGGTATCGGAGCGGGAACCGTCCCCGCCCCCACCCACCACACCGCACAGCAGCGAAATACGGCAAAACCCGACAGTCGGGTTTTCGTCTGTTTTTGGGGCGTTTTCGGGCAAAAAAGCGGGAAAAACAACGAAAAAAGGTGGCTGCAGCCGGAGAGCTCCACGTGGCGAAAAAGGAAGCCAAGGCTGCCGCATGCGCGCGCGCGCCCACGTTGCCCCACCCCGCCCACTCCGGGATTTATATTATCAAGATCCGAGATGCAACTGCCGCTGCTGGGGTTTGAACCCAGGCACTTGCAGAGCCATGCTCGTGTGTAAGCAACCTCATAACACACTCGCCACAGTGTGTCCATGGCT